CTCGGACTGGAGCCGCGGCTGGACTTATTTTAAAGATTTTAAAAACAATACTGACAACATCTTGGTCTAATGTTGATGTGCTGGCATTTTTTGTGCTTGGTGGCCGACAACATAATTCAGAGCAAGCTGGATCGAGCTCTGCTGGTGTACCCGATCCTCCCTCCGGAGCCTCGGCGCGCCAGGCCGGGCAAGGCGTCATCTCCCCGGCTCCAAGTTCAGCTGGTCACCGCGGAAGATCCTTCGATGTGCCGACTCAGAGGCTCGGGTTCTGGATACCAGCCTTGTGTGCTCAGAGCTCCGCAGGTCACTGCGAAGCTGGAGATGGGGACTCACAGATGGATGTTGCCAGACCCCGGCCGCGCGTAATCATGAAGGCTGAATCCCGATCCCGCCCGCAGTCAGGCGGACTGGACAGTCTGGGACGGACGCTGGAAGCGATTTTTAAATAAAATAATATTTTGTTTTTATACAAAAAATGTTTTTAAAAAATTCTGAAGCTATTTAAAAATGATTATTATTTTTTTTACACGTAAAATGTTTTTTAAAATCGCTTCCACCGTTCGTCGCAGACCCGTCTCTGTCCGCCTGTCTGCGCGGGTCGGACCTTCATGATTACGCGCGGCTGGAGTCTTGGAACGGCCTCTGTGAGTGACAAGCTCAGCTGGAGCTGGGAGGATGAGCCTCCTCCTCTCCGGAGGAGAGGATCGTGTGACTGCGGGCAGTGTCGTGCGAGACCAGCAGAGCGTTGAAGATTTAAAAAAAAAAAAAAAAAAACGGTGCCAGCTTCATCATGAAATCCTGTTTTCACTTTAATGACTGTTAACTCAGCTGAAAATCATAAAAAGACACAAAACTATTGGATCTCAGGAATATTTCCCTCAAACATGTTTAAAAAAAGAGACGACCTTCAGTTCAACTTTATTTTAACCCACAAATGTACAAATCACAAAACAAGAACTTTAAAGCAAAGCTAAAAATAAAATGTATATATGTGAACAAGAAAGGAAACCACACATTTAAAATGAACATTAAAAGTAGACAATGAGTGCAAATACATCAAATGATGATGAAAACCTATAAAAATTTAAATGTA